TCGGTGATGGTTCTAACTTCACTCACACTCGTCCAACATGTTAGATTAAGCTCATCAACCAAACCAGACGCAGACCCAGTCATGCCTTTCCTTAGAGGGCTAAACATTAATGACCCTAGACCGAAAGGTTAGGACAAGTGGTTTCGTAACCCAATTTTTATGCTTACAAGCTCATATTTCATTATCTCAATCATACTTGCTTACGGACTTACGCAGTTTTGGTTAGGGCTTACTTTGATATCATTAGGCGTTGATGATCAGAGCCTAACTTTAATCTTATGATAACCCTGATTCAGGACCGGTATTGTGTATAGACGCTAACACACACACACGCATAAACTCGAGCAAAAGTAGCAGGACAAGTATGAAAGACAATTAGCCAAACCACTCTATATCTATCTAGATTTTTTAATTTTTAATTTTCTTTTGGCGTAACTGAGTCTATATAAGAGGTACGATAAAGCCGAATAGTCTTCTTGGTCTAGTGTTAACGAAAGCCTTTTATAAGAATTACACCCAGCTATAATGATGTCCATTATATGATGGGCGAAAGCTCAGCACGTTTACACCCGAAACGATGGAGGAAGTCTCGTGGACTTCGTCAACATGAATATTGTATAAAATCCAACCGGCTACAGTACAAAGAGTTTTATCCGTCCTCATCTGGTGAGATCGACCAACAAATTTCTTTTTCATGCACTTTCATACGAAATAAGGGTTCCCCTAACAATATACCTTTTAGTTAACAAGTTTAGAGGAATTTCCTATCAGGTTTGAGATTAGCAACTGGACAATTCTGCTCGGTTCCTGATTTTGCCTTCTGTCAGATTACGAAAAGGTTAGGTGATCTTATCAGGGAACGGAACATAAAAGCAATGTAACACTTTCTTCAGTAGTTCCTTCATTTAGAGAATACTCAGACCCTATTTCTACATCGGGCTGTCACAATGTTTTGTACTCATGTGTTAAGGTATATATGAGGTAAACCTACCTACCCATTCATAAGAGACTATTCGAATATAAGACTGCTTGTAAGGGTCTGTGGATCCTAAGATCTGAGTTCGCTGAATACACGGACAATACAGGACACAAAATAGATTGTTCTATAACAACGTTTTGTGGATTACGAGTACTTCACATCAAAGAGTAAGATTTGGGAATTTATAGGAATTAACAAAACAGCCAACGTCGTGAATAGGAGGAACGAGTGTAGAAGACTAAGTAGTAACTATTAGTGGCTGTTGGATAGAATTAAGAAATGGGAGAGAGAGAGAGAGAGAGAGAGGGGTGCAGGAAGAGCCATCAACAATAGAAGGAGGCTGTATTCGCCTCTAGTCTAGCCAGGACTATCACATTTCAAATGACATGAGCATTACATACTCACAATAGACAATAGCATAAGCCCAAACATGATTTAGCATTAGGCGATCGTACGCTAGTTTTTTGTGATGAATCAGGGAAGGCCTCATCAAGACTAGGAACTTAGGTGTATAAGAAAGGCGAATATGGTTGAAGCCGGCCACCTTTTTTCTGGGTTAGTATATTTTTGCTCTATTTCGTAAAGTTTGGAATCTTGCTCGGTTAATCTCTGTCACGGTTGTACAGACGAAAGATGAGCATAGTTTCATCGGGGCCACATGATGGTGAGCCAAGGACTTCATTGTATAATTCAAAAATCTTCCTTACATCACAATCCTACTTCGCTTTTCGGTAAGACAACATCACGAATTTCTTCCAATTAACTTTTCCTCCGAAATGGAGTGTCATGCCACAACATTCTTGATGGTGCCTTTTCTAAAACCTATTTCTTCGATGTAATTGGAAAGGTGCTAGGCTTTCTTCCGTCAATTGACTGATATCACCAGATCTAGGTGTAATTCTTACAATCTTATTTTTGCAACAATTTTTTTATCATTTCTCCTTAATAAGATTGTCAAAATGGCACTTTTTTGACGATATTCGTGACATGATAGACGAAAAATTAGCACGAATACACTGGAATCGAAGGTAATTGCCTTAGAAACGGCGTCAGCAGAGACCTTCACATAAAGCCAATAACATGTGGTTAAATGGAGTTCAACATCGTCTTCTGCTGGTATAGACTATCAAATATCTTCATCAAACATTTTTATTCGAAATTGAACTGAGCTTAACAAGCAGTAAGTATTGTTAGCGGGACTTTCATTTCGTATGAAAGTCAATGAAGAAGAGATTCGTTGGTCTATCTCATCAGATGAGACTTTTACATGAATGAGATATAGCTATCATGATGCCCTTGATATAATGAATGAAAGCTCAGCACGTTTTCATCCGAAACGAGGGAGGAAGTCTTGTGGACTGCGTCAATATGAATATCGAATAAAAGTCAAATATCTGCAGTACAACGAGAATAAACCGTCCTCATCTGGTGAGATCGACCAACGAATCTCTTCTTCATTCCCTTTTATACAAAATAAAAGTCCCCCTAACAATGTTATCTAAAAAGATTCATTGAAACCCAGTTTATCTTGGTATCTACAAGAAGTAAGTAGCCAAGCAAATTATGGGAGGCCTTAGTAAGGTAGCAAAGTTAGGTTTATGAAGTGAGTAAGTATGCAGTCAGTCACCTATTTCCCCAGTCTTTGTATAATGTTACGCTTTTGTTGCAAAGTATAATTTTTCGTCCAGGAGGTCTGTCACATGGCAGACGAAAAGTTATCAGGGGTTTATCAGGATCG